TAATTGTTATATGTAGTGGACCAGTTGACAGTATACAATAGTGACTGAAAACTTAGCTTGTATGTTGAAGTGTATGAGTCCAATATTTTGTTGAATTATTCTATATGTTTAGTACTGTGTGTGTGTTTCTTGTTTGTCATGTACCAGCTTGCACTATTTTCTTTGTCCATTCAAAACTTATACCTTTTATACAGTGTTAATATTTCTGTAATCATATTGCTATATATGTATTATATAGTTGTGTTGTGATGTTATTAGTTTTAATTTACTAGTGTTTCAAAGTAAATTTACTGCTAGAATGCTTACTAATACTTATGAGCACAATGCATGCTGTGTAAATGCTTAATGCCTTTAGTTATTCTATTACTAAGTGCTTTGATAAAATAATAGAAGAGATAACAATTGGTTGTATGATCACAAATTAACAGAAAACATAACACATCTGTGCCAATTAGTTACTATTATTATTACAATCAGAACTAAGTGCTAAATCCAAAAGGATCATACAGCATCGTGATACTATTACAGATTCCTCAAAATCTATTACCATAAATATTTTTATTGTGATGGGTGCAAAAATTCAAATAGCCAATTAAGAGATCTGAGTGCACAAATGACAAAGTTCATTGGATACAAAATTGTCCATTCTAGTTATTGTCACACCAAAAAGTCTTCCTGTATCTACTACACTTAGTCTTTACCAACTACCCACTCTACCTCCCTCCATAGTCCATTACTGTGTACAGGTGTCCCTCAACATTCGCGAGGGTTAGGGGATCAAGAGCCTCGTGAATGTTGAAAAACCGTGAGTGTTTGGTGCCCCAATATATTGTAGGGAAATAAATACAATACTGCTTAACTTGTTGAACCATGAACAATCATAAAATACATGAAAACGTCGTAAGTTGTACTAAATATATACATGTTATGCTTTAATAACATGTATGTTATTAAATACCACAGACTCCACCACTGCCTCCACCACTTCCTCAACCAATGCCAGTCCCTACTACCCTCCCTCCGACCCCCACAACTGGCAGCCAGCCCTCCCACCACTCAGTGTGGTGAGTGTTTTGTTTGTTCATTATTTGCTATTAAACTACAGTATAAATAATGTAAACACATTCATGACTGTATATTGGAATGGCTATTTGAACAGGTATTGGACGGTGACATCATGTGTTTACTCTTGAACACAGCAAAGAATCAAACATTTCTGCTACTGCTAATAATAACAATAGTAGTAGTAGTAGTAGTAATAATAATAATAATAATAATAATAATAATAATAATACGATATAATTGAAGAAGGAAATTGTACAAAAATACGAGGGAGTGGTTGACACATCGTCAGTGTGGCTTTGTTTATGCTGGAGTGAACATTAGTCTCCCTGCTCTTCCAAACATTTCACAATAATTCAGCGGTTGAGGCAGTGGTAGAGGCAGTGATAGAGGCAGTGTACTATTATTATTTATAACATATATGTTAGTAAATATCACTGCCTCTACCACTGCCTCTACCACTGCCTCTACCACTGCCTCTATCGCTGCCTCTATCGCTGCCTCTATCGCTGCCTCTATCGCTGCCTCTATCGCTGCCTCTATCGCTGCCTCTACCACTGCCTCTACCACTGCCTCTATCACTGCCTCTACCACTGCCTCTATCACCTCTACCACTGCCTCAACCACTCCAGTCACACTCAATCTACAAGCACCAAACAATGAATTATTGTGAAATGTTTGGAAGAGCAGGGAGACTAATGTTCACTCCAGCATAAACAAAGCCACACTGATGATGTGTCAACCACTCCCTCGTACTTTTGTACAATTTCCTTCTTCAATTATATCGTATTATTATTATTATTATTATTATTATTATTATTATTATTATTATTATTATTATTATTATTATTATTATTATTATTACTATTGTTATTATTAGCAGTAGCAGAAATGTTTGATTCTTTGCTGTGTTCAAGAGTAAACACATGATGTCACCGTCCAATACCTGTCCAAATAGCCATTCCAATATGCAGTCATGAATGTGTTTACATTATTTATACTGTAGTTTAATAGCAAATAATGAACAAACAAAACACTCACCACACTGAGTGGTGGGAGGGCTGGCTGCCAGTTACGGGGGTCGGAGGGAGGGTAGTAGGGACTCGCAGGTGGCGGGAAACTTGAATATGATTTGGCGGCTGGGAATTTGGCGGTTGGGAATTCGCGAATGTGTGAAGCCCGCGAAAGATGAAAACGTGAATGTTGAGGGAGACCTGTACATAGGGTCGTATAAAGCTTGAATGCTTGTGCATGAAACACATCACTGAGTTAAGAATAATTGCATAGTCTAGTAATGGGCTGCTGCTACTGCAGTGTAATGCTGATTGACAACTAGTAGAGCATTCAACATCCCCTCCCACCCAATAGATGTTACCAACATAGCAATCCCAGTTTGAAAAGCAGAAAGGAAAGAAATATACTGTAGCGTGACGAAAAATTTACACATTCTATGAAAATTGGATATCAACACATCGTCCATACCCCTGTACGTACTTATATACTGAAATAATGCAGAAATTGTGTGGGGTGTATCCCAGTCAAATGGACTTCGTATGAAATTTTGTTACAATTACTATCATATCTATGGTGAGGAAGTAGTGTATATACTCCACATCCAATGGATAAGCATTGTCCCCTATATCCAGGCAAGCAGTGCATGCTGAATGTCCAGTTAGTAGGCAGCATATATCCTACATTCAGTAGGTTAACAGTATGTGCTCTGCTTAGAGTTGATTGGCAGTGTGCACCTGCAAACTTCCATCCTCTTCATGAATTAGTTGTACGGTATAATCTTGAAAATTTAGGGAAAGGGTAAGGGTATGGGGATACATAAATTTTTCACCTTAATCAGTAATTTTAGTATGTATCCAGGTCTTAATTTTTGCCTAATTTTATAATGTACTAGTCATAAATTTTAAATCTTGTAAATGTGACTGCCTTTTTTTATCATCTTGCTTTCTGCCTGTTTTGGTTTTTTTTTTTTCTTACAATTGGATCATCTACAGTATACATGTATGTACTGTGGTTCAAGTATCAGAATTACTAATTATAATGGCATTCTTTAAAATTCTTCCTCTGAACTTATGTTTTTGCACTCTTGAGGTGGTGACTTGCATCCGTTGCACATTTAGTATAGAAATTCTTCTGTAGATAGCATATTGTACAAGAATTCTCTTAATTCTGTGGAAGACACTATTTATTCATACCATTCTTGAACAGGTTGTCATTTCTTTGAAAATTTGGCTCCATGAATCAAATTGCTATTGATGCTTTGCTCAAAAAAAAAAAAAAAAAAAATTAAAGCAGCTTCATATATGCTTTTTTTTTTTTTTTTGTTTGTCTTACATCCCAGTTTTATAAAAATTTTGGTGAAAAAGGCACAAAGGGCACAATTGCAGAGGTACTTTAAGATGTTTTGCCTGTTGACAGACATCTTCACTGACTGAAGAAACCTGTCCACAGGCAAAACATCTTAATATAGTTCCTCTCTGCAGTTGTGCCTTTCACCACTTGTTGGCTTGGTGCCATTTACCTCTACCTTTACAAAATTGTATTTACATATTGGCCCAATTCTAGTTTAGTTTTCAACAATTATGAAGAGGCTCTCAAACTTACAATGTGTGCATCCAAGTATGTTGATTGCTGTGTTGTAGCATGATGTGGGAGTACTAATCTAAACTCCCAGGCAAGTAGTACTTCTACATGCATATCAAAGCTGAATAATCACATGGCTGTTCCTTATAGTATTGCACAATACAGTAGTGTATAATAGCATCTAACAAAATGTAGTTTTTTTTTTTTTTTCCAGTGTTGTGTGTTAATCTCCTAGTATATTTACTCTTTAAGTTTTGTTCAATAAGTATGGGTAACTTTGAGTAATGTACAATATATTTTGTGATTAAATATTATTTTTAGAAGTATTGCATACAGATTTATCCTAGTTTTCATAAAAGTTTGAGATAATGGTACAGTGTTGACTATTTTGTTCTTGCAGATAGTAAAGTTTGGCTGTCAACTACATATTTATTGTGTATTGCATGTTTTATTGTTTGAGAGCCTCTCTTGAGTGGTGATGTGGGCCTTCCCCCTACAGGAAGGTTATCCCACTTGGGCTAGGAGGTAAATCAGCCTTCTGCATATGCACCAGAACCTGCATCTCCCAAGTACTTCAAGTGGTACTGCAGCAATCATGTGGCTTGCATGTTTGATCAACTTGCCTGTATCATGGCCTGTACGTGGTGGAGTCAATAGTGCGGTGTGAGGTAACCATGTCGTCTTGTGTGACAGATTCTGAACAAGAATCAGGCATCGCCCGATAGTGCAACTGCTGTGGGCGTGATGGTTACAGCAATCAACCACTTCCATCCCATGCCTTGTGAGATGGGCATGCCATTTTTGCCAGCAGCAGCTCTCCTAGTTATGTTCTACTCATTCTCTGCTTGCTTCTGCTTCAGTGATGCAAGTTGCCTGGTTACCATGAGAAATTATACATTTTTTTTATGATCTAACAAGTCACATTTTTACACAGAACAAGAAACATTTATTAACCTTTATTTACCCTGCCTCTACTAATAAATTAGCATATTATAACCGAGATATACACTGTAGAGCTTTTCAGTATACTGTATTACTCTGGGAAAAGTCTCTGTAGACTATCTGAATAAATAACATTGAACACACACCATAATAAAGTTGGTAGTTTTAGTGTTATTATAGTGGTGCTAATGGTTTTACTTGGAACTTTTTATCTAGACATAATTCAGAGGTTGACAACACCCTGTAATTCATACAAGCTAGACCTAACAATTTCAGCAGCTGCTTGGTAACAATCCTAACAGCCAATAACAAAGATAATTTATTGTTGCTTGTTAAAAGTATGTAATGTTAATGGAAATATGTCATATGATGTTAACTTTTGTGATCACCTTTCCCCTCAGCTGGGTCAAATGATGATTTAGACTCCAACATAGTACCTCGAGTAGCAGGTTCCATACACAGTGGCGCCACCTGCAGTGCCCTCGCCCAGCCATTAAGTCTTATCCTAACACTCTTTGCTACACTCCTGCTTAAGATGTGAAGTGGAAGCATGTGAAGTACGGAATACACAAAGGTGATTTTAAAGAACATACTGTATATCCTGCAGTAATTCTATTAGTTCAAATTTAACAATTATATGGAATATGTTGCTTTATCAAGACATGAAAAATCAGTAAATGTGCACTTGCAATATAATTCTCATTAAGTTCTGCAAAAAAAAAAAAAAAAAAAGTTTCTATATAAAATGAATTAGTTTTCATCTTTTTGTTGGTCATCATTGATGACCACTCATTGTATGGGCAGAAAAAATGTTGGCTCCCTTGATATTCAGTAAGTCTTTATTATTTTTATTTTTACAATATAATTTATACAAAAAAGTACTAAATGCATATGGAAGTTCAGTAACCATGTAATTTTATAAATATTTATTATGACTATTATGGTACATACTATAATTTGACTGGCAAGTCCATAAAATTGGCTTTTTTTATTTTTCATAATTCAAAAATACAGTATACTGTAATAAGTTTTTAATAATTAAATTTATATAGTAATATTGCTTTGGCATCTTCATTCATGATTATGAATATACAATATTTTCAACAATCCCAGATTAAACATATATTGTAACTTTTTAAATGAAAATTCTATTTTGCATCCATGCAGTAATGTTCATTCATCGTGTCTGTATGGAAAGATAAAACTACAGACCTGTTAGTAAGGTGCCTTGATGAATGCAAGGGGCTCTTAATCTAAGTAACTGGACTTGTTTTCCCCTTAAATGGATCAAACCTGAATGGTTCTCATTCCTTAGCAACAAATGGCCCTTGTATTCTTAGTGTTTGCCAGTTACAATAAAAATACAAACTTGGTTTGTTGCTTAAGTGTACAAACTGAAATTTTAGAAGTACAATTCTGGTTACTGAAGAATTACATCAGCATTGATGTTACTGATAAATTTTATTTCTAAGAATCTTTTTTATGCTCATACTACAAAAAATATGTATTGATAGTCCAATGAAAAAGTATAATTAATAATTGCTCTTTATACAAGAAAATTGTAATCACTTAATTAGATTTCTTAAATTGCTTTTAATCTCTCTCACTCTCTCTCTCTCTCTCCAATTTTGTGTCCAGAATATATTACTTACAGGTAATAATTTGTAGGGCATTTGTAATTCAACCCATTGAATTGTACATGTGCATGTTAATTCTTATATGTATCATATTGTTAGCTAGTCACTAGTAACTAGTGACTTAATTATTAGTGTATGAGGTAAACATTACATGCATTACTCAGCATGTGGAGTTTGTAATTGAATGTGGATATTTTTCAGTGATGGAATGTCCCAACTCATTGTGTGTATAAATTTCTTATAAAAATTGATACTGATCTCTGAATGTCTGCTGGTTATGTATTAAGTCCATTTCTGAAATTATCAGTACTGTACCTGTATATGACACTTTATTGTTGAGGATGTCTCTCTCCTCTTGTGATGCCAATTTTCAGGTTGGTGACGAATACCCATTGTATTTATGACTGTTTAATTGATAAACAACATAATTCCTCAAGGCATTAGCTTTGTTTGTATGCAACAAAACACTAAGTTATTGATAGTCATGTAAGAATGCAATTTTATATAATGTGTATATATTTGTACAGATATCATTAATAGGGTTTTTTCACTTATTTTCAATATAGTTTGTTAAATCATCTTCCTATCTTGTTTTTGTTGGTATTTATTCTCTAACTGCATTTTTTTTTCTTGGTAAATTACCCTATTTATGAATAAAACTTTTTTATAGGATTTGTTTCACAACCTTAAATTAATATACAATATACATAGTGCTAGCAAACTGGTGTCACACTGCAGGAAATAATCTGTGAACAATGACATAAAGATATATCTTTTACTGACACATTAGTATGGCTCCTGGAAGGGAAGAGGAAAATGCTTAAAAAATAAATAAATAAATATATATATATATATATATATATATATATATATATATATATATATATATATTTTTTTTTTTTTCAACAAGTTGGTCGTCTCCCACCGAGGCAGGGTGACCCAAAAAAGAAAGAAAATCCCCAAAAAGAAAATACTTTCATCATTCAACACTTTCACCACACTCACACATTATCACTGCTTTTGCAGAGGTGCTCAGAATACAACAGTTTAGAAGCATATACGTATAAAGATACACAACATATCCCTCCAAACTGCCAATATCCCAAACCCCTCCTTTAAAGTGCAGGCATTGTACTTCCCATTTCCAGGACTCAAGTCCGACTATAAGAAAATAACCGGTTTCCCTGAATCCCTTCACTAAATATTACCCTGCTCACACTCCAACAGATCGTCAGGTCCCAAGTATCATTCGTCTCCATTCACTCCTATCTAACACGCTCATGCACGCTTGCTGGAAGTCCAAGCCCCTCGCCCACAAAACCTCCTTTACCCCCTCTTTCCAACCCTTTCGAGGACGACCCCTACCCCTCTTTCCTTCCCCTATAGATTTATATGCTTTCCATGTCATTCTACTTTGATCCCTTCTCTCTAAATGACCAAACCACCTCAACAACCCCTCTTCTGCCCTCTGACTAATGCTTTTATTAACTCCACACCTTCTCCTAATTTCCACACTCCGAATTTTCTGCATAATATTTACACCACACATTGCCCTTAGACAGGACATCTCCACTGCCTCCAACCGTCTCCTCGCTGCTGCATTTACCACCCAAGCTTCACATCCATATAAGAGTGTTGGTACTACTATACTTTCATACATTCCCTTCTTTCCCTCCATAGATAACGTTTTTTTGACTCCACATATACCTCAACACACCACTCACCTTTTTTCCCTCATCAATTCTATGATTAACCTCATCCTTCATAAATCCATCCGCCGACACGTCAACTCCCAAGTATCTGAAAACATTCACTTCTTCCATACTCCTCCCCAATTTGATATCCAATTTTTCTTTATCTAAATCATTTGACACCCTCATCACCTTACTCTTTTCTATGTTCACTTTCAACTTTCTACCTTTACACACATTCCCAAACTCATCCACTAACCTTTGCAATTTTTCTTTAGAATCTCCCATAAGCACAGTAGTATCATCAGCAAAAAGTAACTGTGTCAATTCCCATTTTGAATTTAATTCCCCAAAATTTAATCCCACCCCTCTCCCGAACACCCTAGCATTTACTTCCTTTACAACCCCATCTATAAATATATTAAACAACCATGGTGACATTACACATCCCTGTCTAAGACCTACTTTTACCGGGAAGTAGTCTCCCTCTCTTCTACACACCCTAACCTGAGCCTCACTATCCTCATAAAAACTCTTTACAGCATTTAATAACTTACCACCTATTCCATATACTTGCAACATCTGCCACATTGCTCCTCTATCCACTCTATCATATGCCTTTTCTAAATCCATAAATGCAATAAAAACTTCCCTATCTTTATCTAAATACTGTTCACATATATGCTTCAATGTAAACACCTGATCTACACATCCCCTACCCACTCTGAAACCTCCTTGCTCATCCGCAATCCTACATTCTGTCTTATCTCTAATTCTTTCAATTATAACCCTACCGTACACTTTTCCTGGTATACTCAGTAAGCTTATTCCTCTATAATTTTTACAGTCTCTTTTGTCTCCTTTCCCTTTATATAAAGGGACTATACATGCTCTCCGCCAATCCCTAGGTACCTTCCCCTCTTTCATACATTTATTAAACAAAAGTACCAACCACTCCAACACTATATCCCCCCCTGCTTTTAACATTTCTGTCATGATCCCATCAGTTCCAGCTGCTTTAACCCCCTTTCATTTTACGTAATGCCTCACGTACCTCCCCCACACTTACATTCTGCTCTTCTTCACTCCTAAAAGATGGTATACCTCCCTGACCAGTGCATGAAATTACTGCCTCTGTTTCTTCCTTAACATTTAAAAGTTCCTCAAAATATTCTCGCCATCTACCCAATACCTCCATTTCCCCATCTACTAACTCCCCTACTCTGTTTTTAACTGACAAATCCATATTTTCCCTAGGCTTTCTTAACTTGTTTAACTCACTCCAAAATTTTTTCTTATTTTCATTAAAATTTCTTGACAGTGCCTCTCCCACTCTATCATCTGCTCTCCTTTTGCACTCTACTCACCACTCTCTTTAACCTTTCTTTTACTCTCCATATACTCTGCTCTTCTTATAACACTTCTGCTTTGTAAAAACCTCTCATAAGCTACCTTTTTCTCTTTATTCACACCCTATACTTCATCATTCCACCAATCACTCCTCTTTCCTCCTGCCCCCACCCTCCTATAACCACAAACTTCTGCCCCACATTCTAATACTGCATTTTTAAAACTATTCCAACCCTCTTCAACCCCCCCACTACTCATCTTTGCACTAGCCCACCTTTCTGCCAATAGTCGCTTATATCTCACCCGAACTTCCTCCTCCCTTAGTTTATACACTTTCACCTCCCTCTTACTTGTTGTTGCCACCTTCCTCTTTTCCCATCTACCTCTTACTCTAACTGTAGCTACAACTAAATAATGATCCGATATATCAGTTGCCCTCTATAAACATGTACATCCTGGAGCCTACCCATCAACCTTTTATCCACCAATACATAATCTAATAAACTACTTTCATTACGTGCTACATCATACCTTGTATATTTATTTATCCTCTTTTTCATAAAATATGTATTACTTATTACCAAATTTCTTTCTACACATAGCTCAATTAAAGGCTCCCCATTTACATTTACCCCTGGCACCCCAAATTTACCTACTACTCCCTCCATAACATTTTTACCCACTTTAGCATTGAAATCCCCAACCACCATTACTCTCACACTTGATTCAAAACTCCCCACGCATTCACTCAACATTCCCAAAATCTCTCTCTCTCCTCTACACTTCTCTCTTCTCCAGGTGCATACACGCTTATTATAACCCACTTTTCACATCCAATCTTTATTTTACTCCACATAATCCTTGAATTAATTACATTTATAGTCCCTCTTTTCCTGCCATAGCTTATCCTTCAACATTATTGCTAATCCTTCTTTAGCTCTAACTCTATTTGAAACCCCTGACCTAATCCCATTTATTCCCTCTCCACTGAAACTCTCCCACCCCCTTCAGCTTTGTTTCACTTAAAGCCAGGACATCCAGCTTCTTCTCATTCATAACATCCACAATCATCTCTTTCTTATCATCTGCACAACATCCACGCACATTCAGACTTCCCACTTTGACAATTTTCTTCTTCTTATTCTTTTTAGTAATCTTTACAGGAAAAGGGGTTACTAGCCCATTGTTCCCGGCAGTTTAGTTGACTTTTACAACACGCATGGCTTACGGAGGAAAGATTCTTATTCCACTTCCCCATGGATATAAAAGGAAAATTAATAAGACCAAGAACTATAAAGATAGAAATGTTAAAAGCAGGTGGGGATATAGTTTTGGAGTGGTTGGTGCAATTATTTAATAAATGTATGGAAGAGGGTAAGGTACCTAGGGATTGGCAGAGAGCATGCATAGTTCCTTTGTATAAAGGCAAAGGGGATAAAAGAGAGTGCAAAAATTATAGGGGGATAAGTCTGTTGAGTGTACCTGGTAAAGTGTATGGTAGAGTTATAATTGAAAGAATTAAGAGTAAGACGGAGAATAGGATAGCAGATGAACAAGGAGGCTTTAGGAAAGGTAGGGGGTGTGTGGACCAGGTGTTTACAGTGAAACATATAAGTGAACAGTATTTAGATAAGGCTAAAGAGGTCTTTGTGGCATTTATGGATTTGGAAAAGGCGTATGACAGGGTGGATAGGGGGGCAATGTGGCAGATGTTGCAAGTGTATGGTGTAGGAGGTAGGTTACTGAAAGCAGTGAAGAGTTTTTACGAGGATAGTGAGGCTCAAGTTAGAGTATGTAGGAAAGAGGGAAATTTTTTCCCAGTAAAAGTAGGCCTTAGACAAGGATGTGTGATGTCACCGTGGTTGTTTAATATATTTATAGATGGGGTTGTAAGAGAAGTAAATGCGAGGGTCTTGGCAAGAGGCGTGGAGTTAAAAGATAAAGAATCACACACAAAGTGGGAGTTGTCACAGCTGCTCTTTGCTGATGACACTGTGCTCTTGGGAGATTCTGAAGAGAAGTTGCAGAGATTGGTGGATGAATTTGGTAGGGTGTGCAAAAGAAGAAAATTAAAGGTGAATACAGGAAAGAGTAAGGTTATGAGGATAACAAAAAGATTAGGTGATGAAAGATTGAATATCAGACTGGAGGGAGAGAGAATGGAGGAGGTGAACGTATTCAGATATTTGGGAGTGGACGTGTCAGCGGATGGGTCTATGAAAGATGAGGTGAATCATAGAATTGATGAGGGAAAAAGAGTGAGTGGTGCACTTAGGAGTCTGTGGAGACAAAGAACTTTGTCCTTGGAGGCAAAGAGGGGAATGTATGAGAGTATAGTTTTACCAACGCTCTTATATGGGTGTGAAGCGTGGGTGATGAATGTTGCAGCGAGGAGAAGGCTGGAGGCAGTGGAGATGTCATGTCTGAGGGCAATGTGTGGTGTGAATATAATGCAGAGAATTCGTAATTTGGAAGTTAGGAGGAGGTGCGGGATTACCAAAACTGTTGTCCAGAGGGCTGAGGAAGGGTTGTTGAGGTGGTTCGGACATGTAGAGAGAATGGAGCGAAACAGAATGACTTCAAGAGTGTATCAGTCTGTAGTGGAAGGAAGGCGGGGTAGGGGTCGGC